TCTCGGTAAGGGCTTAGTAAGAATATCGGCCAATTGTGATGTTGTATGAATTGGCATTAACTTAATAGTTTTATCAATAATCTTGTCTCGAATAAAGTGGCAATCAATTTCGATATACTTCGTGCGTTCATGAAATGTTGGATTTGTAGCTCATTGAATTGCAGAATTATTGTCACAAAAAATCAGAGAAGGTGTTGTTGTAGCATAACCAAAATCATGTAATAGATGACGCAACCAGATGAGCTCACTTGTGACAGCAGCAATGGCACGGTACTCTGCTTCTGTTGAATAGCGTGAAACAATAGTCTGTTTCTTAGATTTCCAGGAAATCAATGAATCACCTAGGAAAACACAAAAACCAGTGACAGACCGACGTGTGTCAATACAGCAGCCCAATCCGAGTCACTAAATGCTTTAAGTTGTAAAGAAGGACCGATTGAAAAGAAAAGCCCTTGGCCTGGACTATTTTTGATAAATCTCAATAGATGATGGACTGCTTGAAGATGAGGTTGTTTAGGATTTGTGACAAATTGACTCAACCTGTTGACTGCATAAGCAATGTCAGGTCGCGTAATTGTTAAGTATAACAATCTTCCAATTAGTCTTCTATATTGGGATGGATCAGAAACAGGAGCACCATGAAAATTTGAAGTTTTGAGTTTTGGATCCATTGGATATGAAACTGGTTTAGAAGCCAAAAAACCAGTATCTTCAAGCAATTCTAAAGCATATTTTCGTTGAGAAATAAAAATTCCAGTTTTTGACCTTGCAATTTCAAGACCCAAAAACAATTTGAGATTGCCCAAATCCTTCAATTTGAATTGTTGACTCAATTTCTGCTTGAGAAGATTAATACCATCAAGTGAAGCTCCTGTTATAACTATGTCATCAACATAGACCAAAAGGGCAACGTACTTTGAACCACTACCCTTATAAAATAAGGAATAATCTGCTTTTGATTGAGTGAATCCTTCATTGAGTAAAAATGAAGAAAACTTTGAATACCATTGACGTGAGGCTTGTCGAAGACCATAGAGAGATTTATTAATTTGCAAACCATAGGGGCATTTCGGTCATTTTTCTGAAAAACTGTATAACCCTTGGGAATATCCATGTAAACATCTTCCTCTAAATCCCCATTTAGAAAGGCATTATTCACATCAAGTTGAATAAGTGGCCATGATTGTTGAGCAGCAATTGCAAGCATCATCTTGACTGTTACCAATTTTGCAACAGGAGAATACGTATCAATAAAATCAACTCCTTCCAATTGATTGAACCCTTTTGCTACCAAACGCGCCTTATATCGTTTAATGGAACCATCGGCCTTTCTTTTGATTTTAAAAACCCACTTACAACCCAAAGTTTTTCTATTTTTCGGTAATGGGACAATATTCCATGTATTGTTGACTTCAAGAGTATTTAATTCATCATTGATAGCTTGTTGCCATTCAGTAGATTTAACAGCTTCTGAATACGATTTTGGTTTAGTTTGAGAGGATATGGATAAAGTGTAAGCTCTATGAACAGAAGAAAGCTTTTCATATGAGATCACATCAGAAAGTGGGTATTTTGCTTTTGTCAAAGGAATATCATTACCCGTTAAAAGGCTACAATGGTAATCTTTCAAATAAGTGGGTGGTGCACGAGTTCTAACTGGTCTAGTATTCACATTTTGAGGAGAAGGAGTATTGGGTATAGGAATAGAAGGAATTGAAGGAGAACTGTAAGAAAGTTCATCCAATTCTGTTGACTGGATAAGAGGGACAATATGAAAATCAAAAGGATTTTGTTGATGCTTGTATTCAGAATTCTGAAAAGGAAAAATTTCCTCATGAAATGTGACATCTCTTGAAATAAAAACCCTTCTGGTTATTAAATCAAGCATCTTATATCCTTTAACTCCAACCGGATATCCAAGAAATATACATGCAGTAGCTCTGGGATCAAACTTTGTTCTTCCAGCTTTTAAGGTAGATGCAAATGCTAAGCAGCCAAAAGATCTGAACATTGAGTAATCTGGTGCCTTCCCAAATAATTTTTCAAAAGGAGACAAACTATTTAGCACTTTTGAAGGAGTTCTATTGATTAGAAAAGTAGCACACAGTAGACATTCAGACCAGTATTCAGAAGGAACAGCAGATTGGAAGAAAATAGCCCTAGCAACATTCAGCAGATGTTGATGCTTTCTCTCTACCACAGAGTTTTGTTGAGGTGTTTCAACACAAGAGTATTGATGAATAACACCTTGTTCATTAAAGAAATTGTCAAATTGCAATTCCTTTGCATTGTCTGATCTAAACATTTTAACACTTGTGTCAAATTGATTTTTAACCATGGCAAAGAACTTAGGAATGATGGTTTGAACTTCTGATTTGTGTCTTATCATATATATCCATGTAAACCTGGAATGGTCATCAACAATGGTCACAAAATATCTATGTCCCTGATAAGAATCAATATGATAGGGACCCCACAAATCACAATGTATCAACTGAAATGATTTACTAGACATATTGTTGTGACAAACAAATGCAGACTTCTTTTGTTTAGCTAATTGACATATCATACAAACATGCTTATCTATCCCTTTATTTAAAGCTAACTCGTTGCTCAATAACTTGAGTTTCTTATTAGATGGATGCCCAAATCTCTGGTGTCATTGCTGTAAAGAGACATTGTTGATGGAAGCTTTGACTAAATCATGCTCTAGCAAGTATAATCCTTCTATGACTTTACCCCTGCCAATCATCTGGTTGTTGCTCATCTGCTGTATGATTGCATAATCATGATAAAGACCAACCATTATAGTTTTATCTTTAGTCAATGAAGTAACTGATATAAGGTTTGGTTCAAACTGTGGCACAAATAGAACATCATGAAGTACCAAACTATGACTGAGTTGAATACTGCCCATCATATGTACTTGAATAAGCATCTGATTTGGCAATTTCACTCTGGTATTATAAATCTTTTGTTTGTTAACAAAAAGATTATGATCATTGCATATGTGTCTTGTTGCTCCTGAGTCTATAATCCATATATTGGATGTATAATTGCCAAAACTAGAGTTTAAGATGTAATGAGTACCTGCTTTAAAATCATAGGATGTAGTGACAGCATTTGAAGAAGCAAGTTTTCCAGATAACATAGCAATGAGTTGTTGACATTGGGCATCAGTTAGACCTGTAACAGCATCATTGAAGCCAGATACATTTCCATGTGAATCAGAATCGGTAACAGGGACAGAAACAGAATTCGCCCTATTCTCATTGTTGTTTGTGAACTTGAAACCTGGTGGAAAACCATGCAACCTGTAACATTTCTCCTGTGTATGTCCAGTCTTCTTACAGTGTGTACAAATGATCTGATTCTTCTTGTAACCTCTTTGATTTTGATTGTTGTTATAGGTTCTTGTTTTATTGTTATCAGAATATGAATCTCTGACATTGAAAACCATAGTTGATTGAGGACTTTGATTAGAACTTATGCTCCTCTGTCTTTCATCTTGGATGATTAACGAAAAGATTCGATTAACTTTTGGAATTGGATCCATTAAAAGAATTGGACCACGGATTTGAGTGAAATCATCATTCAAACCCATCAAAAAAGTCATAGTCTGCTCAACTTCTTTTGCTCCACCACAGGTGCATAAACCGCATGTGCAATGAACATCATAATTTGCTAATTCTTCCCATAAGACTTTAAGTTTGGTAAAGTATACACTTACAGAATCATTTCCTTGTGTGACATTCATTATCTCACGTTTGATTTGAAAAATCCTTGGACCATTGCTCTGTTGAAACCTTTCCTTCAACTCTTTCCAAATGTCTTTGGCAGTTTTGAGGTAAATCACGGAAGCAGCGATTTCCTTGGAAATAGAGTTCAATATCCATGAAATCACGATGTTATTACTTCGATTCCATGACTTAAAACGATCAACATCAGTTGCAAGTGGCTGAGGAATAGTTCCTTCAATGAAATCAATCTTATTCTTCACAGAAAGAGCAATAGTCATCGCTCTGCTCCATGCTCCATAATTCTCTCCTGTAAGAATCTGCGAGACTAAGACAGTTCCCGGACTATCAGAGTGATGAAGGAAATATGGATCATTTCTAGAACTGATTGAATCTGAGTTTTGACTGCTAGATTGAGCTGATGTTGACATATCGATGAAACAGAGCAAAAAAAAATTTTTTTTTTTTTTTTTTTTTGAGAATCGAGAACAAATGGAACAACAATCTGATCAAATAGATGAAAATGAAAAACTAATCAGAATGAATAATTGATTTGAATGAAGGATTGATGCAAGAAATCAGAAGAAATTGATTGATGCGGAATGAAGAACATGTTTTCAAGAAGCGAGATCTAAAAACGCAAACGAAAGAAAGCTCTGATACCATAACAAAGTTTTAAAAATGATAATTGTGATTCGTGAAGAAAGAAATCTTCGATTAAACTGATCAAAACAAGGTTACATGGTTTATATACACTGTTACAATGCACCGACTATGCTAACATCCACCTAACAACTTTCTAACAAAATAACTAATTAACCACTTAACGAAACTAACGAAACCGGACAGAAAACAAACTTGTTTAACTTATAGCTCCGTTACTATGCTAATGTAATGTTGAAATTTATACAAACGTACATTATCTTATTAAAATTAAGCTCTTATAATGTGTGAAATGCTTAAAAATGACTATTTTCTTTCCTCTCAAGTACCAAATAATGGAGTCTTTAGAGTGTGCTTGGAATTGTTGCTTCAGGCATGATTGGTGCTTTCTAAGCATTGTACATTTTATTTTTCTTCTACGACATTAGTTTAATTGTAATTAATAACGTTTTATTTACAAAGAAAAATAAATAAAACATAATAAAAACTCATCAAACCCCAAAATAAGTTATAACTTAGATACAAACGAAAACTAAATAGATGATAAAATGAGAAGTAATGAAAAGCAAAATGGTTTGGTTTAGATGCAAATAAAGTCAATCACTTATGTAGGAGATTAACATCCAAACAATCATGAAAAAAGTACCACCTGCATGCATACAAGAACCTGTCTTTTCCAGTTCCATCAGGACAAACATATCTCACATATTTGGACCGAAGGTCAGCCCATAACTCCCCTCTTATAACCAAAGCACCATAATTCAAAAAGCTTAAAAAGAATCCATATTCTTCTCCTTTCTTTTCACGTGACTCCCATTCCATTTTGTTGAGATTTATTTCATAGATCTTTTGGTACGGATAATGAAAAGATAGATTCATCACATAAAGATTTTCACCCCAACTCACAAATCTCGGATTTTGAAAGGTTGGGTTTGGAAGGTTCTTGATTTCTAGTAAAGTCACTTTGGGTGTTGGAAAAAGTGTCACTTCACCTAAACGATTATCCGTGTATAGAGTATATATCTTCCCTTTGAAAGCTCGTAAATCAATGATGGGGGAAACGGTGGAGACACTAGTCCATTCTCGTTTTCCCGCTATACAAAACCATATTTTACCATTATTGCCTCGTCTATAGAACACAACAAACACCCATCCAGATACACAAGGTGAAAAGACAAGGATAGCCCCCAGAAAATGAAAGTACAATTCTATATTAGGGAAAGGGAAAGGGAAATGAAGTTCATGCCAGCGATAGGATTCACAAGCCAAAAGTCACGGTTTTCATTAACGAAAAATGAGGCAAAGTGTCCCTTACCACACAATATCAAGTAACCACAAGTTGCTCCAATACAGATTCTTCCAGCAGAATGGGGAAGAATGAATTTGAACTTTCTTCCTTCAAAGTCCTCTAAATGGCATTTTTTCTCATCATCATCATCATCAGTAGGGATAGATAAGGACATGGGTAGTCTAGACACTATGAACTTGTTTTTGTTACACACTGCGAGTGATCTCCATGACTTACAAACTCTACTGAATGAAACATAATCATCAACTCCAAGTTGCATCATAATTATAAAAAGCAAATCATGATTAAGATATGACCAAGTGTCACAAGTCTTATTAAACCTCTTCTTCTTGCTAGATGCATCATTACAGTTTCGGTTTCTAGTCATGCGTCTTTTCTTAGCCATTCCTACACATAAGATACAAATCTTCATCTTCTTCTTGCTAGATGCATCATCATCATGGTTCTGGTTTCTAGTCATACTTCTTGTCTTAGCCATTCCTACACTTGCAATTTCCACATAAGATACAAAGTTTATAACCAAACATTAATGTCTAATATAATCGAATTTAATGAAAACAAGACGCAAAAGGTACCTAAAATCGAAGGAGTTTTATGTGGGTGTCATATCAACAAATATGTCTATAATAATCCACAAACCATGAAATTTGTACTATAGCATGCAGTTAAATGATAAAAAAGATAAAAGACAAAGCCAAAAACTGGATACCAATTAGACTAGTTTGTGTTTCAAATAGATGGATGATGGAAAATAGTGGCTATGGGAGCATATAAATATGGTATTTGGTTGTATAATTAAACAAAGAAGAAGTCAAAATTGGTTATGTTGAGGACGTAAAGCTATGGTTTTTTTGTTTGTAGCCGATGTCATCCAGTAGCCACCAATGGAGATTTTGGGAAAATACATCCCCATTTTTAATCTGAATGTTCCAATAACTATTAGAAAAGGAAATTAAAAAAAAAATGTAATCATCTTCCTATTGCTAAATTATTGGCTATTGTCTAATCTAAACTAAACCTAAAATAAAATAAAAAAGAAACTAAGCTAAGCTAAATCACAATCATATGGACCAATCCCAAGTTTTTGCGTCGGCATAATTTTGTTGACACTAAAAATTGAAGAACATGCATGAGCATGATGGAACTTCTTTTGTGGATTTCAAAGTTGGAGTGCAGTGCAGTTAAGTTAATGTATAGTATAGACGAAACTACTGCAACCACTGGACCGAAGTTAATAGGAAAAGATGATGAAAACATTAACATCCAAATCGTATCTAATCAGTAATAAACAAACAAAATCGAGATGAAACGATTTACCGATTAAAACTGAAAATCATGAACTTAAGCAGCAGGATGGTTTTAGAACTAATCGGCCAATATACTCTCGGGGTTGGAACCGCTTGCATCACCGATCGTATCCCATAAATATATTCTTTGTAAATCCTAATTTTACCAATACGCTAAAATTTTGGGCTCTACAGATTTTTTATTAGGATACCCAATAAACTTTTTCGAATTTGTTTAAATGGTTATTTAAAAGCTTGAGCAGTAAGCATGGCGACGTGTCCTATGGGCCCCACCCTCATGACCAAAACATTCGTTAGAAATTTTCAGGGCCCATTTTTTTTATATATCTACTAAGAAAAAAAAAAATATATGGTGTTAAGTCACCCGCCTTCTTTTAATTAAAAAAATTATTGTTAAGAGCTTATATAACAATAATAATAATAATAATAATAAGACTAATAATTAGTCACGAGAAACATTAAACTAAAATATAGTGTTAATGGTACTAGGTTTCGTTGAAGGAAAATAAAATTGTTAGAAGCGAATCGTTGCCCGATTTTGGAATCATCACTTTAACAAATGAGTGCATAGTCTCTTTCATTAACATGATTTTAGTACAAGTATTAAAGTATTAATTAATTATATGTTTATGTGTGAAATATTTGATATTGTCTGATATACGTGTTAAGAGTATATCTGATAATATATGATGATTTAGGATACAAAGTAAGCCTAAATTAATTAAGATGAATATTGGGTAGTATTTTCTTATGAGTTCGGGTGAGATATACACGGAGGGTAGAACTTTAAAATATGTCATTAATCCGAGAGCATGGATTAGACATATGGATTAGACATAGCCATTTGTCCCTAGTCCGAGAGTATGGATTGGGCATAGTCATTTGTCACTGATCCGAGAGTATGGATTAAGACATAGTCAATTGTCTCTAGTCCGAGAGTATGAAATGGGGACAGTTATTGATCTGAGAGCATGGATTAGACATACTTGATCAGGGAGTATGGATTAAGTAAAGAGATAAATTTTAGATCCGGGAGTATGGATCGTGTCGTTGAGAAGATCAACGGGGTGGGGTAAGAATTGCTTATATATGGTGAAATTGTATATTTTGTGAGTTCTAATATTATATATATATATATATATATAATATATATATATATATATAAGATTGTGGGATTGAAATCCCTATGTACTCACCAGGTTTCCCAACCTGACCCACTCAGTTTATTTGTATCACAAATGTCGATATGAAGCTACATTACACTGAGAGATTAAGGAGATTTAGATCACTAGTGTAAATGAATGTAAGGTTTGTTTATGTTTATGTTTCTTTATTAACGATGACATCCCAAGGATTTAAAAGGAATAAAATACATTTCTTAGGAAATGTTTTGATAATATATTTATCATGTTTTTCTGGGAACAAATTCCGCAATATTATTCTTTAAATGAATACTCTGATTTTCAAATAAGCATAAATAATAATTTTAAAATGACCGTGAATTTAGGGATGTCACAGTTGGTATCGGAGCATTAGTTTAAGCGAACTAGGAATTGTAGGAAATTTCTAGACTTAAACTTAGAATGCTAAGCGATAATCGTGAGGAGTGTGTCTATTATATTTTAGGTAGTACGACTGAATAGACACAAACATTAGCTTAATTAGGGAAGATGCCTAAAATGCTTTTATGTGCTAAATGATTTGTGATGCTTTATGTTATCGTTTGATCGGATTTATGGTCTGTTGCCGACCGGATCTGGAAATTATTTGTGTTCAGATTTCTAAACGTTTAAATACGGTATTAGAACCGGCATGTAACTTTTCAGAGTAATAAGGAGGATTATGCGTCTAAACCTTCTATATCTATATTCTCGTCTCGATGCACTAAACGCATGCTTCCGTAAACATAGCATCATGGTGAAGACTCGTAGAGAATTGAGTAAATGGGGGAAATGAAAAGGCTTATGATACTGACTGACACCTATCGGAAGATATCGTAAGAGTGGTATCATGCCTTTAGAATATGTCTGGTAAAATAACAGTACGTTCAGATCAGTACGGTACGTCTGAAGTACACCTTCGATTGGCGGGATGGTGGAATGATTGGTGTAATTCCTGAAGTTATCCTATCGTCTGGCATTTCCACCACCGATCGAGTTGAAGTAGAATTGATAACTGAAGATACGCATGGAAGAAGTCCTAGTAGAGTCTAAGGAAATTTTTATAATTATATGGACATGTTCGTATGTGTTAAATGACTATGTGAAATTCTTGTATGGTGACTTGGTGAACTGCGAGACAATACTTGGGACGAGTATGAGTAGGTGTGAATGGTAGTAGAGGCCTATACTACCGGAAGTACAGGACTCACACTTGGATCAGGGAAAGTCACAAGGTTACCAAGAAGCTAGTAATTGATTATGTTCTTCATGTCTGTCGTTACCATCGTTTCGGTAATGACCAAGAAGATGATTATTATTTCGACCCTAGTGGTCATATCGAATTAAATCCAACTAAGATGAGTATGTTCCGTGGTTCAGAGAACCAAGATCGATGTAACATCCGACTTAAGCCGGAAGATCGAAAATGAAAGATAATCAAAACGATCAATAGAAGTATCGCAATCACCGAGAAAGTAAGATACTTATAGGTAGAAGGGCTACATACTAGAATGTGATTACATCACACTAGAACATGAAGAAAGGAAACTTCCATTCTGGAATTTGACTATAAAAGAACTGAGTCTAAGCGTTGCATCATACGATGAGAGGTCATTAGAACATGACCCATCGATCTGTTACGATAATCTAAGTAAAGTCTATTTACGAAGGATCAGGAGTTTCCAATAAAGATCAAGATTGTAACTCGAATGTTACAATTGAAAGTCGAACATAGTATGAAGAGCGGGTGCAAGATTGAGCATCGCCAGTAGTCAAGAAGTCCAAGAGTTAGATACTCGTTTGAAAGGACATAAGAGTTATGATTATAATCTAGGATGAAAAGATAACATATGGAGTCATTATACAAGCCCTGTTTTGTTGATGATTCCAGGACGTAATCATCCTAAGGGGGAGATAACCGTAACACCCGCAGATTCGGCTAGTCAATTTAGAGAAAATAAGCGTCAAAAATGGCTTTTTGATGGAAGATTATTTAGAATGAATAATCTTAACCAAGTTATAGTATATGTCACAAGGGTTTCGTACATATAAAGAACGCTGAAATCTGAGTTACAACGAAGAAGTTATGGCCCGTCGAAGTTTTGCGGCTAAATCGGCACGGCATCGCGTAACTTAAAAAGTGAATTTTTGATAAATTATTTTTAGCCTTAGGCATCTAAACATAACTCATAGTATACATTAAACCAAGAGCGTTGTCACAACTGGCAATTTAGCTAGGAAAATTCTATTCTCATGTAATCATTCAACTATTGTAAAGCATGTACTCTAAGTAAAAATCACTCAATGTTCATTCAGATACACCTCTCATGACCAACAAAGAGTTAAAACTCTAAATATTTCGGTTTAAGTCCATTATGGACTAGGATTTACTTATTGGGCCTAATGGGCCAATAAGCTTCCAATTTGACTATTTTGGGCTCAGAACTCTTAAATGGGCTCTAAATGGACTCACATTCATAAAACCTAACCTTTTGGGCCATCATGGGCCTAAAATGAAATGGCTTACCCTAATGGGCCTTATTGAGCCATAATTGATTTAATTAACCTTAATGGGCCGAAAATTTTGTCTATAAACCTCATAATCTCGAACCAAGGATTGAAGTGGGCCAAATTAATTCATTCCTTCTTCCTTTGGCCCATTTCGGCCCAAGTTCAAAAAAAAAGAGGGTTTATGGAGGATTAAGGGAAGTGACGCCTCATTGTTGTTTAAGGGATAATGAGGGTTTTATACAACATGTATCCATACACTCTCATACTTCCATGCAAGGTCACTTCTCTCTTCCCCTCCCCTTTTTCTTCCTCTCGGCCGAAGATAACACATACACACACACATTTTCAAATCCTCTCCAAACCACCTTCAAGATCATCCTCCATCTTCCATCAAGATATCTCGAATTTTGCCTGAGTTTTTAAGGATCTTCATCAAGTTTTTTTTTCAACCTTTGGTAAGTTGGTATCAAACACAAACATCTACTTCCATCTTAATACTA